AGGCATGTGGCACAGTCCCTGACTAGAAATAGAATGCGTGACCCCTCCCTTTGAGGAATGATGCCTGACCAACTGAAGCATACCAGTCAGGGAAGATTGTTCCTTTATTTTTATATGCTGATGTTAGATTTTTATAGATGAGCATTCTTCTGTGTTTTTCTTTTTCTTTTTTTTCTTATCATGTCTTCAATAGATTCCTATATGTGAAAATACCATATCAGAATATGTGAATTCTCTTAAAGCTCCTGATATATCTTGTCAATTTGCTTTCCTGAAAGGTCCTTTCAATATGTTACCCACCTGTGTTGTATAAAAGTGTCTATTAATTAAAATTGTATTAGCAGGATATATTATAATTTAAAACAAAACAAAAAACTCTTTTGGTGTGATGAGTTAAAAGTGGTCTACATTTTCACATGTTCCTTTAATACAAAGGGTAAATGGTTTACATATCTTTCTATTAAAGCATTGGTATTTTTCTTTCTGATTTTTAACATATATTAAATTAAATACATTTATTAAGTTATAATAAATTATATAAAATAATATATAAATATGTAGATTAAATCTATATAGAGAGACAGAGAGTATAAAGAATATTATTCCCTTGTTTTTATAAATTGTTGAGAATAATGTTCCAAGTTTGTCATTTGACTTTTCATTGTTTTGGTGATTATTTTTAACACATAAAATCTTTCAGTTTTGTGCAGTCAATATGTGATTTTTCCCCTTATGATTTTTATTAGAGTCCTTGCTCATTTTGATTCTTAATTATTATAATTATTTAATTATAATTACCTTATTTCTTACTGGCTAAAAAAGTTGTTTAATTCTGAATTCTACTTGATTTTTTTTTTAGTGTGTTACATGGTATGAGTTTCGATTTGATTTTCTTTTCCCCAAACAGCTGATTTTCTTCACCTTATTTGTTTCCAAAAGGCCCTTTTATGTAGATATAGGTTATTTAAAAAATCAGAGAACCTTCTCTCTAATTGGCCATGGAAAAGGGTAATCTGACATGGTGGTTTGTTTCAGCTAGTAATACAGCTGGGCAGGTTTTCTAACTCCTACGTGGCCACCAGCTACAAGGAACTAGGGAGCAGGAGGGAGGAACAGTGGGGTGCCATCTGCTCCCCTTAGGCTCATGGGGGTAGAAAAGCTCCAAAGAAAAAGGGGACTTACAGATCTGGCGTAAGTACCTTTTAGAATGCCTGTTTGTGCCAGCTCGGCAGTTTCTAGGCTGCCTGATCTATTGGAGGTGCTCCCTGTAGCTGACCATTGTCACTAGCTCTCGAATGTTCCATAACAGAGCTTTGTAGTTAGAAAGCCCCAGCTTCAGCCTCAAAGGGTCAAAACAACAACAACAAAAACAAAACCAACCTAATGGTGATCCCCAGACCTGGTCTTGCTTCTTCATTTCTGGCCCTTTAAATAAAACTAGCCTACTCTCAGACCTCCTCAATAAGCATATAAAAACTGACTGTAGGCAACAGTACTTGTTTACAATAATTGCCCAAGATTTCTTTTGCATTTGGAAAATATGTTCTTGATTTCTCATCTTCAACTTGCTCTACCTGTCAGTTTTGCATTTCTGCTTCTGTCTTTTGCAACTGGTTTGGATTCTCTTGTTACTTCTTGGTGAGGCACCTCCCTTAATTTTAATGCCACTATAACATCAGGTAAAAGGCATCCTGCCAACCATAGTCCCAGAGAACTTTCACCAAGTGCCTTAGTAGCCCCTCTTCCAAGGGAAGATGCACAGAGGCTATGGGGTGACCTCTGTGGAAGGCAGAGACTGACAATTCACCTGAATTCTGACAGCTTATGTGCCCTTTCACTCACCTTAGACAGGTTACTGTGAAATACTGGAGAGATGGCAAACAGAAGGGACTTGGGGCATCTCTGTGCTTGTGGTTGGTCTGGCTCTCACTTTGTCCTAAAAAGACACACAAGAAAAACACAATTGCCTCACAAGCCAAATGAATTGAATCAACCCCAGTTGGGGCAGCCTAAGCCCTTCACATTTCCTTCTGTCCTCATCAGCAATTTGATGTGTGGAAACTAGAGGATGTGTTTCAATTCACTTTCTGCACAAATAAAACTACAGCTCAACGGCCTCAAACACTTCAAAAACCAGACATTAGAAAAGCCTTTTATTTGCTTCCGTGATCTAGGTGTGGTCATTGTGCTGCTCTGCCTGATACCAAGACTCTGAGTGATGTCACAAAACATGACTTGGAGCATGACTTTTACTGTTTAAAACAGCCCCAGAATCCTTTCTGTGACCCAGGAGGCCCTCCTTGCACAGGCCCCTACCTATTTCTCTGACCTTGCTTCTGTCACTGCCCCCTTACTCAGTCTGCTTTAGCCACATACCCTACTCAGTGTTGCTTCTGAACGGCCCAGTTCATTTCCCTCTGGCTGGAACGTTCTCGCCTCAGGTTTTTATGGCCTATTCCTCATTTCATTCAGGTCACTTCAAATGTTGTCTCCTAAGAGACATCATTGATCCCCCTACTTAAAACAGCAGCCTTGTTCATTTCCAATTCCTTGCTTTATTTTTCTTTATAGCACTTTATACAACATTTTATTCACCCATAAATGCACACACACACACTTGTTCACTGTCTCCCCACTATAATGTAAGCTCTGTGAAGGCAGAAACATTGATTTGTTCTTCTGTGTATTTTCCCACTTTGATCAGTACCTGACACAGAGTAGATATCCAACAAATGGTAGCTTAAAAATATTTAAATGTGAATACCAAGGTTTACACAAGTCTAGAGAAAAACCATCTCTAAGACCCCAATTATAATAACTCAACCTCTCCCACCTACAGCTTTTTAATTACCGTGATAGGAAAATGATCTTTAATCCAATTCCCAAAGGGCTGTATCAGGAAAAGGTTCTGGAAAATAGTGTTTAATGAGACCTGTAAGTGTGAGGATCATTCACCTGTAAAAGCTGATTAATCCTCACCGGAGCCCTTTAAGGCAGGCATTACCTCCATGATCACATATAAATAAGGACACTGACGCTCTGAGACTGACTTGCATAATGCCACGTGTATTGAAGGTTCCTGATTCAGGAACTCAGATCTAATTGACTTTGGCAGCTGGGCTTTTATTCTATTAGCTGCCTCTCATGGAATATTGTCAGAGATGCTAACTGACATTATCCACTCAGAAAAAGAGAGCTCAAGTGATTTAACCAGTAACCCACTTCCTGATAGGTTTTCTGACATCTAGCAAGTGACAACACGAAATAAGTAAAGCTTAATAAACCATAAGACATTTGTGCCCTTTGCCTAGGAACTACAGAACCCCATATCTAGTTATGCTGTGGTGAACAGAGTTGTTTCTGACATGTCATCTTCCAGAGATGGTGGAGGCACTCAAGTTCTTGGAAAGAATAGCAAGATAGCTGGTTCTTATAAAAGACAATGTACAGGGTCTGACAGAAGTAAGGTCTGCTTGAGTGTGGTTGGTAGGGTAATAATATGGGTGTAATAATTTATAGCTTTAATTTGAACATTTCACCTAAAATGTCATATGGTGTGCTTGAGTGTGATATTGTTGTGTTACAGAATTACATGCTTATGATTTTTTAATAAAAATTTTATAATAAAAAGGGGTGTTATTTGTGCTGGACATATATATTCATTTGTTAGGCACAGAGCTAAGCACTGGGGACAGTGATGAATAAATAAAATAGACATTGCCTTTGGTCTTATGTACCTTACAAATTAGAAAGGATTTTATCGAGCTAAACTTATGCTGCTGTTGTAAAATTGTTATGCTTTCATTTATTCACTCAATGAAGAACGGTTTATAATTGACTACATACTACATGTCATGTGCTGTGGTTAAGAGGAGAGTATATAATGGTGAGCAAAACCAGACATGACTCCTGCCTTCGTGAAACTTACCACCTAATGAGGAAAACATTAAATAATTACATACATACGTGGTGCTATGAGATCCTACAAATAGGGGAAACTGGCTTCATTAATTAGGAGATTCTTGCTTGAGGAAGTAGCACTTAAGCTGACATATGAAAGTTAAGTGGGAGTTAACTAGGCAATGAGGGGAGGGAAGAACATTTCAGACAATTTAAACAGCATGTGAGAAGATGCTCCTGGAGAAGGGAAGATGGTGAGCAGAAAGAACTTTGAAAGAGGCCAGCTGGAGAGCTGAGAATAAGGAGCTCCCTGGTGTCAGGAGCACCTGAGTGGTAGGCTGGAGCAGACCCATAGGGTAGACAGGTAGGGTAGTGCACCTCTCCAGTTGGTCTCTAGGTTAATGGTCACAGAAATTTGAAGCAGAGAGGCTCACTGCATCAGCAGACAGGAAGAAGACTAGATGATCGTTTTTTCAGTGCCATATTCAGTAGTGGGATAGAAAACTGGAGAGTCCAATGATTTAGATTAAACTTCTTTGGCTGTTACCTGTAATTTCTCAGCAACTACAGGAATAAATGTATTTCTCTTTCAGCATTCTTATGAGACTCAAATGAGATAATGTATTAAATTATTTAGCGCAGTGCTTGGCTCATGATAAGTATTCAATAAATAATAGCTATTATTTTTCTTCAGCTGTTAATGGAGACAATGATAGTGGTTACCTCACACAGTTAAGATCTGTTGAAGCATGAGTCTGGGCCTCCTTTGCGCAGTACAATTTTTAATTTTAAAAGCCTACAATGTCCAGAGTCCATTCTAAAGCTCCTTAGGAAAGTTGGGCCATTGCCTTCTTTATCTACCCTGGTGCAACATGTTCATTCTTTCAAAGACGATCTCTCACTTATCTCATGTTTCTAGGCTTATGAGTATCTTTCCACTTGGAAATCTCTAATCTACACCCCGCAGGAGAAGGCACACCCAAGTCCAGCCTGCGCCCTCCTTGCTGCGGTGCCCACCCAGGATCTGCCAAACCAGACTGGGTCTCCGCGCGGCGGACGGGCCAATCAGAAGAAGTTTGGCCCTCTGCAGTTTCCGTCCGCTCACTAGGAGGCGCTGCGGCTGCCGCGGCTGCTCCCGGGGCAGTCGCGGGTAGGGCGGTAGGACTGGCACCTGAGGCTCGTGGCCATGGAGTGGGGTTTGGAGTCGGCGGCCGTGAGGCGACACCGCATCGGAGGGGAGCGCCGGGACGGCCCAGTAGCCGCCCCGCAACCAGATAGGGAGGCCCCGGAGCTGGAGCCCTTGGTGGACGCGTGCGGCCGCAACGCGAGGACGCGGAAGCAGAGCGCGGCGGGTAGAGGAGGCGCGAGCGGGGCTGCGTGGACCGGACTGTCTGAGGCGCGCGCAGCGCTGGGGCTAGCGCTCTACTTGCTCGCGCTGCGGACGCTCGTGCAGCTTTCGCTGCAGCAGCTCGTGCTGCGTGGGGCCAGTGGGCACCACGGGGAGTTCGACGCGCGCCGAGCCAGGTACTGGCCTGTGCCGCCCGGCCTGCGCGTCCTCTACGTCCCCTGCGTCCCCTTCCAGAGTCTGGGCACCGCACCTGTGTGCGTTCTCCCTTGCGGGATCGCCCAAGCTCGCCGTCACAGCCTGACTCCACGTGGGGGTGGGTGGCTTTGTTCGCCCCTCTTCTGGAGTCCCAAATTACAGGATGCAGGGCTTGCATTGCCCCCTGTTAAGCTGGTGGTGCAGATGTGGGTGGCCAGGGGGCTGTTTCTGCTTTTACACCCCTTTTCTGCCCCACCTGAAGATAGTTTGGTTTAGTCATTTCTGATCTTAATGGAGCAACTTCCACTTTTCACTAGTCCTTTTGCTTTCCCAATGAAATGAAGGAACGTGAAATTTGTGACCTAGCCAGTCTTGTAAGTTTGGTTCCTGGGGAGATGTCCGAAGGGGATAATGCAGTGGCCTTTTTGAAGATGATAGTTCCTCACACATGAAAGCTATGGAGGCTCAGCATGAAAGATTACACTTCAAAAGTTTACAATTTCAGAAGTTTCAGATTCCTGGAGGTTATCTTTGTGCCCCTGGTGTGTAAAGTTTAATTAAAAAAAAATTTTAAAAAGATACCATTAAGTGCTAGAAAGATGATTAAATAAAAAGTATTGTAACATAAGTGTGTCAAAGCTCAAAATTATAAGCTAGCAGAGTTTTCAGCAGCCACTGTGATTTTAAAACTTTATTTTGAATACAATGTGCTGGACGCTTATTATATTAAGGTCTGGAACACACCTGCCCCACCCTCCTTTTTCCCCACCTGGAATGCAGTGAAAAGAGAAAAACATTTTTGTTTTGGGGATAGAGTTGGTTTTGGCCTGAATTGAAGTAATTAGGTTTTGTGTGCACACCAGGAGGGCTGAGTCAGTTCCTCACAATAAAAAGGATTTTTTTGTTGTTGTTTATTTATTTAACCTATTTAACCAATTGTCTTTGCTCATTGGTTTCCTCTTGGTAACCCAAAATTTGTAACCCTCCAGCACAGGTTACCTGAAATAATAAAAGGCAGCCTTAAAGGTTTTTTTAAATTTAAAGTTTACTTTTCAATTATGGTCTGCATTCAATATTATTTTGTATTAGTTTCACATGTACAGAATAGTGATTACACAATCATGTACTTCACTAAGTATTCCCTCAAAAAAGGCAGCCTTTTTGATTTGAGAAGTCAAAGAACTTGTTTTTGATGGTGAGGGGGATTGTAGAGGAAAACTTCTGTGATAAGTGTTAATCATAATTTTTTTTGGTGGCTTTCAGGGATTATCTTGAACACATAACATCCATTGGCCCCAGGACTACAGGAAGCCCAGAAAATGAAATTCTGACGGTGCGTTATCTTTTGGAACAGATTAAACTGATTGAAGTTCAAAGTAACAGCCTTCACAAGATTTCGGTAGATATACAGCGGCCCACAGGCTCCTTTAGTATTGACTTTTTGGGAGGTTTTACAAGCTACTATGACAACATCACCAACATTGCAGTAAAGCTGGAACCCAGAGAAGGAGCCCAGCATGCTGTTCTGGCTAACTGTCATTTCGACTCAGTGGCAAACTCACCAGGTTTGTACCAGTGTTTTAGTCGTCTTGAAATTGATACAGCTGAGAGACACCATTTTCTTGGGCAAACATTATCTGTGATGGCAGGCAGTATAATTAGAATAGTATCATTTAGTTTAAGAACTGATCCCTCACTATTCTCTGAAGTGCTTTATTTATTATTTTAAACATGAGTGCCAGCAGCCCTGTGACAGGACAGGGAATGTTGCTGGTGGACTGAAGCAGCTTTATCAGTGTTGCCGGTGTGTGTCCCAGAGTCTTGGAGTTAGGTTCTGTCTCTTCAAGTGTTTACTTAGCCAGGTGTTGGTAGTAGGCCTTGGGGATGTGGGATAAAGGAACAGTGCTTGCCTTCACAGGACACAAGGTCTGGAGGACATCTTTCCTAGCAGTTTCTGTTGACATGTAAAGTGAGAATTTTGGCCCACTGGGGATGCCATACTATTAGAATGCCTCATTAATCCACAAATCTTCCTCTGAAAATACTTTGTCAAGATAGAGTACTTGATGTTTAGGACAATGTCTGACACACTAAATATTTTGAATGAATGAGAATCTCTAAAATTGAACTTTCATTTAAAACATAAGATTCATCACAAAAGTGTTTTCAGTAGTTATTAAAGAGATTGTAAGTAGGGAAGAATAGAAAGTTGTAGTATTTAACAGTGGAGTCATAGCATATTAGAGGTAGACAAGACCTGAGATGCATCTGGTCCAAGGCCTTCATTTGACGCAGGAATACACTTAGCTGATCACCACTGATCCAACATGCTGGGTTTCCTGGCGAGTCAGTTCTTTCAGCTACATTTGAAAGGAAGGAGAGTTCATGCTCCCTTTTCTAGTCTACTTACCATAACCTCTTTTTTTGGTCAGTTTCTGATCTGTAAAGTGGAGATAATAGTACTTTCCCAGTGGCACTGCCATAGTGCCTGGCATGAAAAATGCTTTTTATTTTTATTTTTTTTGCTATTAATTATTTTTTCCTTTTTATTGAATTTATTGGAATGACACTGGTTAACAAAATTATACAGGTTTCAGGTGCACAGTTCCACAACACATCATCTGTACACTGTATTGTGTATACATTGTATTGTGTGTTCACCATCCCAAGTCAAGTCTTCTTCCAACACCATTTATCCCCCATACCCTCCTGTACCTTCCCTCACCCACTTTCTCTCCTCAGTCACCACTTTGTTGTCCCTGTCTGTTATTTTTCTCTTTTTTTTTCTTTCTTGCTTAGTCCCACCACCCAGCACCCAAATCCTCCACCCCCAACAGCTGTCAGCCTGCTCTCTATGGCTCTGTCTCTGTTTGCTTGTTGGTTCATTTTGTTCATTAGTTCCACATATGACTGAACTCCTGTGGTACTTGTCCTTCTCTGGCTGGCTTATTTCACTTAGCATAATGTTCTCTAGGTCCATCCCTGTTGTTGCAAAGGGTAAGATTTCCTTTTTTTGTGTGGCTGAGTGGTAGTCTGTTTTGTAACTGTACCACAGCTTTTTTATCTGCTCAACTGATGATGGACACTTGGGCTGCTTCCAAATTTTGGCTATTGTGAATGATACTGCAGTGAACATAGGGGTGCCTGTATTTTGATTTAGTGTTTCAGTTATCTTCAGATAAATTCCTAGAAGTGGAATTGCTAGGTCATAAGGCAGATCCATTTTTTATTTTTTCAGGTAACTCTGTACTGCTTTCCACAGTGGCTGCACCAGTCTGCATTCCCATCAAATATACATGAGGGTTCCCCTGCTTTTCTTTTTATCCTCATTCTAGGATATATTTATCTTAGAGAGAGGGGAAAGGAGAGAGAAGGGAAGGGAGAGAGAGGGGAAGGGAGAGAGAGGGAGAAAAGCATGGATGTGAGAGAGAAACATTGATCGGTTGTCTTCTGTACGTGCCCCAACAGGAGACCGGGAGACTGAACCCACAACCTAGTCATGTGCCTTGACTGGGAATCAAACCCATGACCTTTTGGTTTATGGGACGATGCTCCAACCAACTGAGCCATACTGGCTGGGGTGGGTTCCCTTTTTTACTTGTTATTAATATTTCTGGATCTTGAATTTGTGGCAGATCCAATATGATAATCTAGTTATGTAAAATATAAAATAAAATTTATTTGCTTGGTAAAATGATTCATCCTAGGACATCTTTAATTAGAAAGTGCCAATTGCATTTAGAATATAACATGTTTTTTAAAAATTTTTATTACTATTTACTGCTAACCTGAGGATATGTTTGTTTTAGAGAGAGTGGGGAGAGAAAGTGAGAGGAAGAGAGAGAGAGAGAAGGGTAGAGAGAAAGAGGTAGAGAGAGAGAGAGAAACACTGATGTGAGAGAGAGACATCAATTAGTTGCCTCCCAAGCACATGCTGACTGGGGATCGAACCCAGAACGTTGGTATGTGCTGTGACTGGGAATGGAACCCGCCACCTTTTGGTGTACAGGACAATGCTCCAACCAACTGAACCACCTGGCCAGAATAAATGTAAAATGCTTCTTAAAAAATCATATACACCACTGGCTGGTGTGACTCTGTTAATTGGAATGTCGTCCTGTAAACTGAATGTTCAATTCCCGGTCAGGGCACGTGCTTAGGTTTCAGATTCCATCCCTGGTTGGGGCACATAAGGGAGGCAACTAATCAATATTTCTCTCCCCCACCTTCCTCTCTAGAATCAATAAATATATATTCAAAAATGACAAAATATAATCATACACGTATTTCCAAGAAGATTGCATGATAAAAGCAACTAGATTTGAAAAAAAACCCTGAGGTTTCAACAAAACAGTGAATTGAGCACACAGAGTATAGAATGATCAGTGGAAAAGGTGAGTTACTGACTGTCAGTAAGAGTGGTCAGCAGGACCAATGTGAATTGTTTAGGGTAGGAGAGATTTGCTTGCATTTTGTGGCATGAGAAGAAAATGACACCATTCCCTCACTTCCATATTGGCACAATATCTCAACTACATGTTTATTATGAAATTGTCTTATTTCTATTAATTTTTTTTAAGATGTTAAAAAAATCAGTATATACACATTTGTTTTTATAAAGTCAGAACTGTCTTTGTGCAAGCTAGGGAAACCAGTGGTCTTTTATGCCTATTTCAAAGCAGTAATAAAATAAGTGTTACCCTGTGCTCACTATTATGATGCTTAAATTCTAGGAAGGGACAAATTGACACCATGGTTATTTAAGAGCATTATATAAGAAATGTATGTATACAAGTATCAGAAACATGGTTCCATATGGTACAAATCATATATATGGGACCTAATAATGATAGGATGACATTTTTGTGGGTCATTGGAACTCAATTTAAATTAAAATTTTATAAGATTGCCTCTACCAATAATCCCAAGGACATTTCTGTGAATATTAAATTGTTAAAAATTGTCAAAAAAAAAAACAACTCACACGTAAAATAGACTATCACCTAAATCCTTTCAGTGGATAAAGTAATTGAAACATGCGTATTTTAAAAAAGTTCTCAGCAACATATGTGGACTTTGGTACTAATACCAATTAGAAGTAATGTTATCCACAGAAAGGACTTAAATGTCTTCTTGGGTTTGCTGCATGGTTCCAGGTTGTTGGTAGAAGCCACATCGAGTTATTTTAGGAGTGGCTTTAATTTCAGGGTTAATTCTAAATGGAAAGATGTTGGTTAACCACCTAGCCCTTATAGATACTGTTTTCTCACTTTTCTTTACTTTCTTAAAGATATTTGACTCTCTAGTTCTGTTCTCAGACAACAGAACCATTAAAATAAAGATAAATGGACAGTTTAACTTTTTATTCAACTCTATATAGATATATGTCTCTTTCAATTTCTCTTTTTAAATAAAGAAATTTTTATGGTTTGATTTTCTTAAAAAATTCTTTTTCTTTTTGATTTTTTATTTTAAGGTAATTCACAGTCTCAAAGTTAAAAATCAATAATTTCATTTGGTTCCTGGAATGTGACACTTTTTACTGACAGCTACATATACTTCTGGCTTGATAGTCATTAGTAGTTATTACTTAGTTTCTCTTTGATTAAAATACAATCCAGTAATCACTGCCAAGGCAAGTAATAGATAATAAGTAGTTTCTTCTTCAGTGGAAAGAGTCTGGAATTTAACAACACCAAAGCAAACATTTTCGCTAACTGCAGAGCCTTCCTTAGGTTTGCAAATAGAAGGGAAAACTAACATTGAATGCAAACTGAATTTCTTTGCAGTCCTCACAACACACCTGTGAGGTAGATACCATTAGCTTACTCTCTAGACCAGGAAGTTGTAGGGTCAACAATAGAGCTAGAATTTACTTCCAAGTCTTTCTTACCTTAAAACCCATGCTAATCTCTGAAGTGCCCTGCCTCCCAGTGTGTAAGTCGGAAAATGCTATCGTCTGGGTTGTTATTAATGCCTGTTTACTTTGATTATTCTTTAAACTTTTTATTATGGAAAATTTTAAATGTGTACAAAACAGAATTGTTTGATGAACTTGAGTGAACCTATCACCTAGCTTTAACAGATTTTCTTTACTTTCTAGCTCTGCAACCCTTAATTATTCTGAAGCAAAACTCAGCTGTGTCAGTTCCTCTGCATTTCAGTCTGTATCACTGAAAAATGACTCTTTTTTTTTTTTATGTTCATAATACTGTGAATTACCTGACTTAAAAAATAATATCAGTCCTGGTTGGTGTGGCTCAGTAGATTGAGCACTGGACTTCGAAGCAAAGGGTCGCTGATTCAGTTCCCAGTTGGGGCACATTCGTGGATTGTGGGCCAGGTCCCTGGTGGGGAGCTTGTGAGAGGCAACCACACACTGATGTTTCTCTTCCTCTCTTTCTCCCTCCCTTCCCCTCTCTCTAAAAATAAATAAAATCTTTAAAAAAAATTAGCAAATGTCTAATTAGTTCTTTTAGCTACCTCTTATGGTGCTTTAAAAAATCAAGACACTAAAGTCATCTTTAGAGTCACTTTTAATTAATATATAAAGTTTCTGAATCAAGAAGAAGTTAGGTGATTTGATGAAGTTCTCTGCTTTGTCATTGCTGGGATCAAGGATACTACTTATGTCAGTAGGCTCCTTTCCTGTCTTATTAAATTTGGTGTCTTCTTTGTACTTCTTCATAACTCCTTGTAGAAACCTTAAAAAAATGGCACACCATCCAAACTGACCCCACTGTAAATGCAGAGTGATCTGAAGATCTTATGATTTTGGCAGGAAAACAATCAGGGAGGGAGTGGGTGGCAGAGAAAGATGATCTATGAAGCTGTGAACACCGGAAGTGGGAATATTATAAAGGATGTAGATAAGGATAAAGAAGGAAACACATTGCTGAGTTTGAGAATGCCAGTTTTCAGTATTAATTTAGATCCTATCTGGTTGATTATTCAGCAAGTATTAATTAAGTGACTACTCTAAGCTTGGTTTTGGTCTAGACATTGAAAGTAAGTCAATAAGCAAACCAGACAAAGATCTCTGGTCTCATGGAGTTTACTGCTGGTGGGTATAATTGTCACCTGATGGTGACAAAGCTATGCTTCTGGTCTTGTTAACATGATTTTTCCTTGATGAGAAAACCCCATTCCTGGCCCTGGGGATTCATACTGTAAAGATTTTAAAATTTGAGAAACATACCTGTTTTTCTGACATAAAGGTGCCAGTGATGATGCAGTTAGCTGTTCAGTGATGCTGGAAGTCCTTCGCGTATTGTCAACATCTTCAGAAGCCTTACATCACGCTGTTATATTTCTCTTTAATGGTGCTGAGGAAAATGTGTTGCAGGTGAGATTCTAATGTTTTAAATACAAGGCTTGAATAATAATGATAATAGCTTAAGCATTTTGATTATTCATGTGAGTGGTATCATAAAATCACATGCAAAAGAAATATTGTATGTGGTAGTACTTTAAAAATTCTACATGTATACTTGTTCAACACTTGAAAACTCAGAACAGGTCATCTTGTCAGTGTTTGATTCATAAAAGGGCTCTGTGCTGGCAAAATTATTCACCTCAGGTTTTGTTTGACTCAGGAGGTCCAGAGATGTTTTGAGGCAGGCACACAGCACAGATACTCAGCCATGTGGATCGTGCCTTCCTATTATTTTGACCTTTTGCACAACCTCACATTTACCAAGGATGTTGTTTGGCACCACTCATGGAAATCAGGCTGCCTTCTGTGATGGGAACTTTCCACTCAGCAAACTCTACACAGCCATTATGCATAAAGAGAGAAACACACGTCTTTAGATACTGTCTTTGAAAAAAAGATTATTTTCCCATTCCTTTTGTTAGACATTCTATCTTTAAGTAAAATAGAGACTTTGATAATGTCACATTGTTTAACATATATTTGTTTTCTTTCTGTCTCATTTAGGCCAGTCATGGTTTCATTACTCAGCACCCCTGGGCCAACTTGATTCGTGCATTTATTAACCTGGAGGCAGCAGGTGTGGGAGGGAAGGAACTCGTATTCCAAACAGGTATGTGAGGCTGTACAGGGTGGGCCAAAAATAGGGTTATAATTGTGAGTACATGAAACAGAGTTTAATCTTGGGTTATTATTTATTAATTATTGTATTATTTCTGAACAAGTGTAAACCTGCTTTGCACCACCCTGTATTTTTATACTGCATTGTATATTTTAATGTAATTCTTGTTTATAAAAATGGAAAGTTTTTTAAAATACCATATTTTCCCATGTATAATGTATACCCATGTTTTTGTGAGCATTATACACAGGATTATTTTGCCCATTATTATACCCATGGTATGTAATCGTTATACTGTGTCATATATAATGCACATCCTTATTTTTTCCTCAAAAATTTGGGCAAAATGCATATTATACATGGCAAAATATGGGTAAGTAATCTCTCAGTGAAGTGAATGTTCTTTTTATTTTTTAAATTTATTTTTACTTTTTATTTTATTTTTTTGGTTTCAAAATTATAAGTCATGGTTTAAAAGAGAGGGGGGAAACAAACAAAACAGTAAGCTGATTATAGGTCTGAGGGAATCTAGGAAAGGAAAATATAGAGAAAAGTAAGAGGGTACAAGTTTGGGTGAAATCCAGTGGCCCAAATCCCAGCTTCCCACCCATACCCCAGTCCTTGGACTGAAGAATTAGATCAGTTTTGTATAAGAGTTTTTTTAAAAAAGCAAATCACAATAAAGCTGACTTGGCTTCTCTCTGAGCCTCCTAGATTATTGAATGTCTGTCTGTCCCTCTGGCCAGTCATCTGTCTTCACCACAGACACTGTTTCAGCTCTCCTAGTCCTCTCCTAGGCCCAGTCTGGGGTTTCCAGGGAGTGTGAACATGAAGTTAGAGAGAGGCTGCTTCACAGCCTGGTCCTTGCATCCACCCAGACCCCATATGGAGTGCAGGGCTCCCAGGGCAGAGGGGCAGGAGAGGCAGACCCTGCCCAGGCAGTCTTCACCATTGGAGAGGGCAGCAGACAGGCATCTCGAGGGCTCACCCTCCTTCCCCCACCACCCCATCTTGGGTGGATGGGGAGCAGCTATCACCAGAGCCTATGATGGTGAAGACTTCAACTCAGCACTGAGCAAACATCAGTGGTGAACCTGAGGGCATCCGGCATCAGAAGCAGGTTAAGAAGGGTGGTGTCCCTGGGGTCACTTTGTTTGAATGGCTTCTATAAGCCCCTGAGGATTTATCCAGGATCACAATGCTGGAGAGGTCAGTGTGGGCCACAGAGAGGTCCTTGATGTAGCTGCCCAATTGCAAAGTGTGGTGCTGTCTGTAGTATCCCCTCTTGAGAACGCTTCTGCTATTGTCCAGTTTATCTGCCACAGCAGAGTGGTAAATCTCTATGCTTGTTGTGAACACTACTAGCTCATACCACTGGCTCACCACTTCTAAAAAGAAGCAGACATGGGGCCTCTTTTGCACAAAAAACTGGACAGGATGTTTGTTGTCACCTTGAGGGTGAAGTCAGGAGGTGCTCCAGGTGGTACTGTGGGCCTCAGAACCCCATCATGATGGGACCCAATAAGTGTCTCATCCAGATCCAGCATCAGGATCTTCCTCTTCACCTGGCCTAGCTGATTCTCGAACACAGGAGATAAGGGAAGGATATCTTATCAAACAGTTTGGTACTGAATCCATTATGTGCATCTGCCTCCTCAAAAGGTAAATGAAGATGCTCTACAACTTGTTGGCAAAAGCCACGAACGAGCCCAGCCCCAACAGACACTGCATCCACATCATCCCAATGACTCCAGGCTGTGGGGCAGGGGCACGACCCAGCTCCTCCAGCGCTGCTCACTGCCCCATCAGGAGGGAGAACAAGGGCTCCAAATGGCAGTAGAGGCTGCAGAGAGGGTCATAGAACTTGCAGCTCAGAAAGCCACCCCCCAGCGAGGGGGAAACCCAGTGGAACCAGGAGCTAGGGGACAGGCATGGGTAGCCCGCATGGGCCGACATGGGCAGGGAGGGGCACCAGTGACTTCATGGAGATTGCAGCCAGCGGAGATCTCAACTGGCTAGGACAGAGTCCTTTGAGACCAGGAGGGAAGGGGATGGAAAGTTAGGGCAGAGGGTGCTGGGGGGAGGGGACTAGGGAGAAAGGGGGAGGGGAAGGAGTGAATGTTCTTTTTAAAGCATGAGATAGTTTTAGTTAACCTTTTTAAGCAAATAATATTAATACTAATATTTGTATAGTGCCTATTATATGTTATATGTTCAAAGCATTATGTATATGTGTCACATTCTCAAAACAGCATGAGGGATAAGTACTGTCATTATCCTCATTTTACAGGTGAGAAAAGTGAGGCGAGAGAGATTATAACTTGCCTAAGGTTTCACAGTTGGTGAATGACACACCAGGATTTAAAAACCTAGTCCAGGTTCCGAGACCTTGTTCCTAACAACTAACCAGATTGTCGTATAGGCGATGAACTTTGTTTTATCCACTATGTATGATTATGATAGAAATTATATTAAATGACAATAATTTCATGAATTAAAATGAGAAAATTTACCTGTAGTTAAAGAACTTGAAATTTATCATTGAATTAATTTGAATGTCATGAAAATCCAGTACTATTTAGTCAGCCAGAGAAATAGTTTTATGATTAAACATTTCTAAGGATAACAAGATTATAAATTACAAGGATAACTTTTTAAAAAATATATTTTATTGATTATGCTATTACAGTTATCCCATTTCCCCCCTTCACTCCCTTCCTCACCCCCTCCCACCCACATTCTCCCCCTTTAGTTCATGTCCGTGTGTCATACTTATAAGTTCTTTGGCTTCTACATTTCCTATACTATTAAGTATTGGTTGTCATCATTCTTAGCAGAATTCAAAGCTCAGTTTTGTTTAGTCAGGGCACACTAAAATCAGACCTTGGAAGTTCCATGCCATTCCCAACTCTGTTAGAAATTTGAGTAATGTATTTTAGTCAGAGATGTGGCATTTACCAGAAGTTTTATAATGAGGAGTATGTTGGGACATGAGATGGGCTAGAAGTAAGATGATACAGGAACTGATTTTTAACACCCTTTGCAGACATGGTATTGTTTAAATTATGAAGATATGCTAAGATGTCTTTCTAACCTAAACAATACCATATGGTAACATTCTCCACACAACTTATTTTAAATTTTTACCCTTTAAACTGTATGTATATTTTAGTTCAGCTAAACCTTTGAGAATCTCAAGGTTGTGAGGTCAGAACCAAGGTTCTTTCTTTTCAAATCTCGGACCTTTCTTCTTACTCTTACTATTCATCCAACTAATGAGAAGCTGGTATCTAATATATATGAATAAGTAGATGATACACTGTTATCCATTCTCTGGATATCCATTAGTGAGGTCTAGACCCAAGTCAATTCCTTTGTTTGCATTTGTCGAGTATTCACTTTTACTAGATCTGACTAGCTTATAGTCTGTGCTATTTTTACTAAATGTGGATAGTTTTATGTAAAAATTCTGCAATTGTGTACACTTTATCTATAATTGCATCATCTGGAAGGACCTAAACCGTATGATAACAGTCACTGCTAGACGGTGAGTGTTGGCTGGTGGAGCTGTGGTGGGTGTGACTGCAGTGGCAGATGGGGCAAAATGTAACAAACCAGTTTGAACTCTCCCATGCTTCATGATTTTAAAAGCAGGACTGTTGCCCTGGCTGGTGTGGCTCAGTGGATTGAGCACGGACCTGAAAACCAAAGATCGCTGGTTGGATTCCCAGTCAGGGCACATGCCTGGGTTGCAGGTCAAGTCCCCGGTAGGGGACGCATGAGAGGCAACCACACATTGATGTTTCTCTCTCTCCCTTCCCTTCCCTCTAAAAATAAATAAATAAAATCTTTAAAAACAACAACAACAACAACAACAAAGCCAGGACTATCATAACTGCTTGACTTACACTATTCAGAGTTTTCTGTATTGTTTAAATGTTTGCATTGCAATATGATTACTTTAATAAGGCAATAACAGCTTTGTTACTAGTGAGCAATTTATATGCAATTTAAATCTTTTTCTCATTTTAAAATAAAATCCCCACATTTCAGAATTATTTTTTTCTGGAGGGGTATCCTATAAAAGATTTGGAGAAATTGTTTCTCCCTTTCCCTGACATTTTATACAGTGTTTTCCCTCTAGGTTTTGGTGTCTTATTCTTGTGGCTAAACTGCACACCCAAAAACTTCCTGGGTGCTTTCTGACATTCTAGTACCTCTCCAGTATCTCTCTCACTTCAAGATGTCACTGTCTACAAAGGACTAGCTTTTTGGTGGGAATGGCTTTCTGAAAGTAATTGTTGCTTCCATGTTGGACTAAAAGGATAAAGGCCTCCTGGGTTTGGAGTTGTGTTTGGGAGCGTGTGCCGGGTTGCTCTGTCCTCAGCTTCCCTAACAGGCCCCTTTTCCCTGTGCAGCAGTACTCGTCCTGTCCTGGAAACTTCTCGGTTAAAACAGTTTGTACTCTAGTGCTCCACTGTCACTTCAGACAGAGACATTCATTTGGGGAGTTTTTATTGACTAGAATAATCATTACTACCTAATTTTTAGAAAGGGCCAGAATGTGTGAAAGAATGACTTGATTTTTCAGGCTAGTGATTTATTTCATGAGTCAAGAAGGCTTGATTTAGTAATTTTGAAGGTGTTATAGAATCCATGCAGATTAAACCAGTAATAGATGTTCCTTGTAAAAGAATTCAGATAACTACCAGCCTTGAGTAGAAGAAAGCTCATCAGCAAAGGAGTCACAGATTACCTTTTTTCTCTTGTGAAAAAATATTCATGCCCTTGTAATCCTACCACCCAGGGCAAACCAGTGTTATAGTTTAGTCTCTACCCTTCTGGAATTTTTTCTCTACATGCACATTAATATATTTTTATATAATACATATCTTTCAAAAATGAGATCATACTTTATCTGATACTTTATGACCTGCTTGAGACTGCATTCCTTTAAAAAAATTACAGCTTTGTTGAGATATAATCACATA